CCCCTGCATCGGCAGGCGGACTCTCAACCACTGCGCCACCAGGGAAGCCCTAGATACCACACTCTTGATCTCTCTGAGTCTGTTGCGGTCCGGGAGCCACAAGCCTGGAGTCGAGTTCCCCGGTAAATGCGACCCGTGTCCCAACCAAGGACACCCAAGAATCACCAACACCAAGTAGAAAGATTAGCAAAGGATTTATACAAGTATAGAAGCTTACACAAACTGTCGGGACAGGGTCCCACTCGGAGAGAAGTGAATGAGACCCCGACTAACAGCCGGGCGAGGCTTTTATACCCTTCACAGGGCGGGAATCCCCAAGGCGGGAGGGAGCTGTTTAATTTTGAATCAGCCAATCAGGAACCCTGTTCTTCCCGCCCCAAGCAAGCAAGCCAGCAAGTTTCTTACAGAAGCCAAAATGTGCTGTTAGCCCTGAAGCTGTTCTTCCGTTTCTTTCGTCACAAGTCTGTTCTAGATTTTGAGTCCCTGGGAGAGAGAATTGATGGGCTCAAAATGTGGCTGGTGTCTGCCCCCTACATCCACTGAGGTTGAGGCCAGCTGTCGGTGTTACACAGTATAGCCCATCCATGGAATCACTGTGAGCTGGGCAGACACTCCGAGAAATGTCCATTAATGTGGTAAATACCAATAGCTGGCTGACTGCAGGTAGCACGTCGCCTGTAACTCTGAAGTAGCTTGGAAAGCACTCTTGATAGTTCTGCGTCATATCTTTTTCCTGCTTTGTTAAGACCCCTTTCACTCAACAGACATTTATAGTCCACCTACTCTCACTGAGGTATCCTGCTACAAGCTGAGGATATAAAGAAATAAGATCCCTTCTCTGTGTTTAGAGAGGGAGAAAGAGCGGCACAAATAATCTTTTTATTTTTTTATTTTTTATTTTTTTGCGGTACACGGGCCTCTCACTGTTGTGGCCTCTCCCGTTGCGGAGCGCAGGCTCAGCGGCCGGGGCCCACGGGCCCAGCCGCTCTGCGACATGTGGGATCTTCCCGGACCGGGGCATGAACCCGTGTCCCCTGCATCGGCAGGCGGACACTCAACCACTGCGCCACCAGGGGAGCCCACAAATAATCTTAATAGAGCGTGGCAAGTCCAGTGATAAGGACATACCTATACAGTGTTCCAAGGTACCCTGGAAACCTTCTCACATTTATCCATGGTAGAATTACACTCTCTCTCTCCCAACAGCTGTTAAAAAGAATTACAAAAACACCAACAAACAATTACAATTCCTGATTGTATACTGTGTGGGGCACCAGGACCTAAGAAACTTATGTTGATTATACTGGGAAGAAAAGGTTAATTATGAAGCAAACAGATTTCATTCCTTATGAGAATCATGGACTCTGAGGGGTCAGAGGGTCCCCAGAAGTCTTTCAGGTTAACTGTTTTTGTGAAGTGTAATTATCTTCTCTCCTTCCTCTTCCCATTTCTTTCTCTTTAAAATTGCTGCCCTGTCAGGTCTCCACTTGCTTAATGCCGAGGTGTGTGAACACTCACTCACTAGCGGATTATAACGGATTATGAACTGTAAATTTTTATAGCAGCTTTCTTCACTCCACTGAGGTTTTCTGTACTGTTATGTTTTTAAAAAATTAATATGGACTTTAAAGGCCAGTGAAGTCATACTAATTTGGGGAAAATTGTTAAATTATGAAGGGATAACTTGGTCCAGTTAATCATAATTTCTCAATAAGAATTTATGTGTAGCTATGTTTTTTAATGCCGGTAACCTTTGAAAGAGATATGAAAAGCCATCTGCTTAATTACTGCCAAATACGCTCTGCCCCACGGGCTCTGAATCTGGAGCAGATATGTCCTATTGGCTTTCAGCTCTAAGCTAGAGCTGAGCTCTAATGTGTTATTCCATGGGGGAGATTGAATGGGAAAGGGAATGACCACTGGGAAAATGCTGTTACTTACCCATGGGTAATTGATTACTTCTTCTGTGTATGAGCAAATTGCTGAGGAATGGATTGTACTCCCTGAAAAACAATAGCCATCCCTTAACATAATAGTGCATGCTCAAGGCATCTATAATTATGTCAGAAGAAACAGACATTTCCTCATGCTTTGTGTCACTTTGTGATTTTAGTTTTTCTCCCTTTGCTTTGGTTTGGCTGGTGTGCTAGATAATCTAAGAATTTAAGCAGGTTAGAGCAAGAAATGGTACCTAGACTTCATCTCTTAATTTATACTCTGCCTTATTCCACAAGAATTTTTATCAACTTAGAATTCTTACAGTTCAGCCTACTTATTACTTAAGAGATCAGGAGACGGATTCTCTTGGAAGTGATTTCCCCCAAATCCCACAGCTAGTTTAATGGTAGTTCTAGAACTGAAACTGCCTCTGTCTCTTTAATGAAGTGAGTGATCATTACATTTTTAAAAATAACTATGTTAAGTACAGACTATTTTCCAGGCAATGTGTTTGCCCTAGATGATGTAATAGAGAGTAGGAAGGACATGAGTTCTGTCCTTGGAGTGCTACCATTTGAGGGGAGGACAGATTTGAAGCAGGTGTGCATACAAATCAGTTAGGTACATTTTGAAAAAAAACAGATTTATATTATGATCATTGACAGGTGCTGTGAGCATATAGTAGAGGTCCTGGAAAGCTTGTTTCAGGAAATGACATTTATGGTGAGCTATGAAGGAGAAATAGGAAAGTATCAGACCAAAGATTTGGGCGTGAAGCATGCAGAGCAGAAGAGAAGATGAGAGAAGGCCATGAGGTGGATGGAGCTTGGCTCAGCTGAGAAATGGAGAGGAGGCCTGTGTAACTGGGTTGGATCAGAGTGAGGAAAAGAAGGGAGAACAAGGAAAGGCCAGAGGTGGGAGCTGGGGCCAGATTGCTCAAGGCCATATAGCCTCCCTAACAGTTTTGGACTTGATCCTAAGTGCAATAAGGAGCCATAGGAGGATTTTAAGCAGGAGAAAGAAATATAATCAGATTTATGTTTTAGAACCATAATAACTGCTGGCTGAAGAATGGATTGAACAGAGGATGAAGCGTGTAAGTAGGGGGACCAAATAGGTTGTTCTTAAATATATTAATTCAGGTGAGAAATGATGATCACTTGTACTAGGATAGGATGGAAAGAAGTGCGAAGATTCAAGATACGTTTTGAAGATAGGATCAATAAGACTTCTTGATGGATTAGGTATACAACTGAGCAGTGAGAGGTTTCAAGAATGACTTTTAGGTTCCTAGTTAAACAACTGGGTGAATATTGTTGATATGGAGAGGAAGTTGACTGTGGAACCCTCTGGGAACTGAGCGGGATAAAGAGCTTTATTTTATTTGAGATGCATCTAAGACATCTAGTGGAGATGTAAAGTGGGAGTTGGATATGCAGATCCTAGGCTCAGAAAAAGATCCAGGCTAACTGTGAATTTGGAAGACATCAATATATAGTCTTTGAACTCAAGGGAATAATTCATGTAGTTGAGGTTATTGGACTCACACTGGAGGAGAAGGATGGGTGGGGTATAAATTTTAAAAAGAAAGGCATTCAAGTGAAGGCAGTGATATGATTAAAGCCTCGAAGTAGGAAAGACATCGACTGATGGATCTTTTTCCAACTGGTGAGACATAAAAAATAAAATGGGATGAAATGGATTTGAGTGCCCTCCTAAGTCAGATAGTGGCTATCCTATGTACACTGGACAAGAGATCTGTGAACAGTCTTAAATCTTTGCACACCAGTAAGAAGCTTCTTTGGTTTATATTGTGAAACCTGAATTCAAACTTCACATAAATCTTGAGATAATTATTTTGGTTGGGCGTCGTGAATGAACAGTAAAGGATAGATCTCCCACAGAACAACTGCTTACCTACCATTTGCTAGTAACATAGTGGAAATAGCCCAGATCACCAGAACTGGTATTCTAGGAGTTGTTCTGTGCCTGTGCCCCTGGTAATGAAATTTTAGCTCCCACCTCCTCTGCTCCAATTAAACTCCTTCTCACACAGTCCGCCCATGCGGGGACTGTCATATACATCCCATCATCCTTCATCTGGCAGAACAAATTCAGAAGCCAAGTGAGGAGGCTGGGAACCTTTCCAGTTCAAAGAACAAAATGCTCCAGACGTTAATGGGGCCTAGAGGTTGCACACCCCATATGAAAAATTTATACTCCTCGGTGTTGAAAGAGCTGATGCCTTTCCAAAAGTATCCTCTGCAGCACCTGACTTACTAAGCAGAAGTTGGCCAACTTCTAGCATTATCACTCTTTGTCACCAATAATTGTATCTTAGTATCCTTTGAGTAATACATCTGTTTTTGTACCTAATGGCTTTGCATGCTCAAAACCAGTGTATATTTACTTTTTTTTTTTTATTCTGTGGTGCTGTGTGTGCATTTTCAACTGAGAACTGAGCAAGTGTTTCTAATTTGAGCCAAGAGCTTAGCGTTTACCCTGTACTGATTCTGCCTATTTTAACATCCACAGAAATGAAGATGCGGTCAATCAGATGGCGGTTACTCCCTTTCCATTACCATCAAGTTCCCCATCTTCTACTGAGGTAAGATGACTCCTAATTAGCTTAGTGAATGAATTACATGGATTTTCAGTATCTGGTATTCCAAACTCAGAATTTATTAGCTAGGGTATTTCCCTAATTAAAATAGGAAGTATTTGAGGCACTGATTATAAAGTAATATAACAATGTTAAACAAACACATTAGAACTTAACCGTATGAGTACTGCCTTCCTCAAAGTTCCTTAAGGTTCATTCTAGATACGCAATTTTTCCTAAATAGGCATTTCAGAATTTATTAGAAAATTCCCTTTTTTAATGACTGAATCGTACCTTTCTTTATGGTTTAAAAACACTTTAATACTATGATTGCTGGTGTCTTTAAATATTTTCATCTATTTTTTTTTTTTTTTTAATCGGTACGCGGGCCTCTCACTGTTGTGACCTCTCCCGTTGCGGAGCACAGGCTCCGGACGCGCAGGCTCAGCAGCCATGGCTCACGGGCCCAGACGCTCCGCGGCATGTGGGATTTTCCCGGACCGGGGCACGAACTCGTGTCCCCTGCATCGGCAGGCGGACTCTCAACCACTGCGCCACCAGGGAAGCCCAATATTTTCCTCTACTGATGAAGAAATTACTAGTACAACAAGATGGCTAACATAGTAATATGCTTCTAGAGATGGATGGATAGATAGATAGGTAGCTGGCTATATAAATAATCAGCTGAGGGATTCTCAGCTGAGGAACATTACATTCTCTTCTCATGTTTTACTTATTAAATTATTTTTAATTCCCTAAAATACACATTTATTATAACTAATCAAACAGTGCAGTTATTAGAAAATTTTATTTTCCTTTCCATACCTCCTCAAGGAAGTTAAGTTTTATTGTTTAGTATCTTTCTATACTTTTTCCTTTGCTTCTATAACAAAAATAAACTATTTGAATAGCGTCTCTTTTAGTAAATATTTGATCATATGATACGTATTCTTTCCATTCAACAAGTATTCAGTGAATGCATATTACGCGCCAGGTACTCTTTTGGATATTTAAAGATATAGGCATGAATAAAACAGATAAGTCTCCCTGACATGGTTCAGCTTACCTTCTAATGAGGAAATTAACTAGCAAATGCATGAATAAAGTAAGAGAATTATCAATAGTGTTCAGTGCCTTACAGATAATTAAAATAGGGAATGTGGCTTGTGACTACTTTGATTGGTTATAGGGAAAGCCTCTTGGACAAGGTGAAATTTAAACAAGATCAAAATGATAAGAAGAAGCCAGACATGCAAAAATAAGGGGGAAGAGCTTTCTCTGCAGACAGGACAAAAATAACTCTCAAGCAAGAATAAGCTGGGGGCGCATATTGGGAGCCCTGGAGAGTAGTGGGATAAAATGCGAGGGAGAGGGAGGGAATGTGACATGGGAGGGAGAGAGGATCTTTGTGAGTCAGAGTAAGAAGTTCAGGTTTTAGTCTGTGTGCAGTAGAAGCCACTGGAAGGTTTTTAACAGGGGAGTGAGATGACCTGATATATAGTCTACCAGGTGGAGAATGGACTGAAGGAAGGTAAAAGTAATACACTAGACGGCAGAAGCCCAGGCAAGACCTGACTGTGGTTAGATGAGGTTTTGGGGTTGGAAGCAAAGAAAAGTGAGCTGATGATTCTTGATGTTTTGGATGTTGAATCAGACTTGATTAAATGTGGGAGCCGAAGGGAACTAGAGAATCGTGGATAGACCTAGATTTTTGGCTTGAGCAACTAGGTAGATGGTGGTGCCATTTACATTTAGGCAGAAATTAAGAGGTCATTGTAGACTGGTTAAGTTAGAGGTGCATATTATGCATTCTTCTGGAATAGATTCTATACATTAAAAAGAGAAAAGGTGCTTTATTTTGCTTAATCTAATAGTCATATTTAATATGCTGTATTATATATTTTTTCTAATTGACATTCAGATTACTTTGCAATTTTTTGCCAATAAAAGAATACCAAAATAAACATACATGTGTGATGTGCGCACCTGCACACATGTGTATGTCAGTCATTTGGTACTGGTGCTTTTATTTCTATAGCGTAGATTTCCCCAATGTACAATTGCTGAGGCAAAAAGTACACAAGTTCAAAATTTTAATCTGTATTTACTAGTTACTATCTGAAAAGATTGACTCCCCACTGATAGCCATTGAGCCACAGCTTTGCTGGCACTGGGTATCTTCATTTTAACTGAGACTAGAGTAGGCAGTTAGCAGTGGTGGAAATGAGGGGCCCCAGAGGGGTGCTATTTCAGTTCACATCCTAGCACAGCCATACACCAGACATGTGAACTTGGATAGTTACAGTAACTTCTATCCCCACTTATCTGTAGGGAGATAACAATAGTTCCTACTTCGTAAGGTTGTTAAGATTAAATGAGAGAGGGAGAGGAAAGATATCTAGATCTATCTATCTAGATCTAGCTATCTTGTGCCAGGCACATAGTAGCTACCCAATAAGTGTTAGTACTTAATTCCTAATCCTTTTGCATTTATAGAATGTCATATAAATCCTTTTTGTTTGGGATGTGTGGGGGTCAGTATTTTAGAATAATTTTTTCTATAATACTCTTAGTTATGAATGTTCCCATCAAAATAGCATCCGCTTGGAACTGAATTTTTCTTTCATTGCCCATATTTTTTCTCAGTGCAGTAAGCAACAAAACTAGCCTGTCATCGAATTGTAAATCTGCTATGAGATCCAGCTTTTGTGTTTTAGAGTGAGTAAAGGTGTAGTGTTGGTGTCAACATTTAGTTTGAGAAGACCATTTCTGGGGTCCTGTTTGGTTTCTTTTGTTTACTTTCTGTCAGGAATGACTTCTAATATTAACTGTGTATTTTCTCTAGTTTATACCCAGCCAGCTGGTTTCTGCTGCCTTCCTGCTGGCCGG